AAAAAAAAGGAAAAGCGAGTGAATTAAAAATGTACCAAATCGGATTTTAAAAAAATGGTAACAAATCTCATCTCATCCTAAAGAAAAGGAATTATAACAAATTTAACAAAAAAACAACCAAATCTTATCCTAAAATAAAACAATCCGATTTCCATAAATCACATCCAAAATCAAATTAAGTTAGGCGGGATAAATGAAAAAAATTCAAAAAGAGTTTCCAAAACAGGTAATTTTCAAAAAATTTGAGAGGGAAAAAATGATGTTTAAGCGGGAAATGAAATATTTATTCAAACATTTATTCAAATATTTTTCCTTCTCCGTATTATATAGTAATAGATATGTATTATTGCATATGTAAAACGGGTTAGTCTAACGATTTCCAGCTACCTATACTGAATTACTGAGTTTTGGCATATATGATTTGAACTTAAAAAATTCTGATAGATCGAAAAATGTGCATGTTTTATATATCTAATGGTTTATTTTTATATTCTTAATTTATTCGCATATTTATATTTTTCGACTTATTTATTATTTAGATGAATTTATTTGCTTTGATATTTTTATGGTTCATTTTCAGGATATTTGAGTATTTTTATTGAAGACTTTGACTACAAAAGTGATTGATTTTCGCGAGAGAAAAAGGAAGAAAAGAAAAGCATTATTTACAAGAGAGAACGCAGATAGAGTGAAGGCGGAACACGCAAAAAGACTCGGACAGAGGCTACGCACGTGGAGAGAAGCCGCATCCGCATACGACGGAGATATTCATGCTCTTTCTTTTCTCTTTCATTATTTTTTTTTTAATTAATATGTTAGGCTAGTTTTTTATCCAGTTTGAGGGAATGTTTGAACCCTAACTTTGATTTGTCTATGAATTGAAGGATTTATATTTATCGTTGATTAATTAAGACGTCGTATTTATTTTGTCGATGAGTTGATTCATGTTATCTGCGTATCGTGTCTATGAATTATAGGTGTTTGATCTAGTCTGGCCAACTATTTTAAATGTTCATAATTTAATTGCTAGATTCGGGACTTTAATCCGTAATTGTTATTGTCTCGTTTCATTAGTAGTAAACTAGGAGTAGTGCATCTCTAGGGTGGCGTGAAACATAAGCTACATGGTCCGAGCTTTTGTGTCCGTTGCTTAGCCTGATCTATTTTCCTAGAGATTAATGCTGTTAGTGCACTAAATTCAAAGAACTTATTCTAGGTTGTCCACTAGTTAGGCTCAGTCGAAGAGCTTATTTCGATTAAATATTCGGTGAAGAAAAATTCGGTTAACAGAGCTTGTTGTTAGCTAGGGTCGGTAATTTATTAGAAATTTAAAGAGAGCGTCGAAATTAATTAACGGTAAATATAAATTGAGTGATAACTGAACCGAAAACTGGACTTCTCTTATTTTACTTGATTTTTAATTTATTGTTATTTTTATTATCTTAAAATCAATCACCCTTTTATTAAGTTAGTAACCTACGGATCTGATATCGTGTAATCCTAGTAGGTTTTGGATTAGATGGACTTGTAACGAGTCATTTATCGAAAAAATTTAAATGTAAAAAATTTGAATTTAAACATATACAACAATTAATTTAAAACATGTGTACATAATTCTAACTAAAACACACTAATAAAACAAAAAACTGAAGTTTATGAAACAATAGTGATGCATATTAAATGACTCTAATTATATATATGTAAGAGATTTATTTTAGCATAAATAAGTAATTGAATATTATATAATTAAAGAAAAATAACATATCTGTATATGAATTTAAAATGGCATATGAGTCTAACAATTATGTAGTTACCTAACACCTCCATATTCATCTGCATTTTGACCACAATGGTCAACGTAGGTTCATAATTAGGCGGGTAAAAATGTGTTGACTTCTAAAATTACCAGAATTTACCAACCAAAGAACATATTCATGTACAGGAATTTTCAAAGAAAGGAACAGAAAAGGATCTCTATTCTCTATCCATGTTAATAAATTAATAAATGATTGATTAACAGATTTTTTTCTTATGTAATTTTAAATGAAAAAAGGTGGAGTGACCAGGCATCCACCTTGGCCTACCATATTATCGTCTTGTTCAAATTGGCCTACCATATTTTCCAATGCACACTCTAGAATGACCTCATCTACACGTCATGATATGTATTATTCATATTACTGAAACTTAAAAAAAAAAAAAGCAGAAAAATAATATTTCCATAATTTTTTTTTAATAGAGCAATGCTACATGTACAGATAAGAACATAGGGCAAATGGGCAATGCTACATCCGTGAAAAAGTATTTTTTTTCAAGAAAAATAATGTTTTACATATCAATTAATTCTAATTTTGAGTATAGCTACTAAATAAAAAACTCATTTGTAAATTTGACTTAACAAAACTTGAGCTTGTTTATACATCGCTTAGGCAATGAGCTGAATTCGACTCGACTCGATGAAGAATTATCTTTTACATAATTTTTTTGTTCTTTTAAGAATTGAGCTTGTTTATCGACTTGTTAACCTAACTAGCTTGACTCGAGTCAAAGATTATTATGAGCTCGAACTAAGTTCGACTCATAAATTGCAGTGAACACTACCATTATTAGTGAAGACCATCAAATAAAATATAATTTACAACCATATTTATAACTCTGATATATTTTCTAGAAGGGTTAATTAAATTTCATTATATTTTATGAGGAAACTATTTGGAATTAATTTGGAGATTAATTGAATTTGAGAGTTGCGGTGCTGCCCTGCCAGTTGGGGTGGGTTGAGCCAACCAACAAAGTTTGATTAGTAAAACAAAGTCAAAAAGCAAAAGAACTTTATCTCTCAGCAATATTTTTTTAAATAATGAAGGTTAACTTAGAAATTACTTGGGATGATTAGTCTACTAATTAAGAATCCAAACTAAAATTTGATTTATTTTCGTATATTTTTTTATTTTTGTATACTAATATATATTTTTCAGTTGTATCTATGTTGTTGAGTTGATCTTTAATTAGCTATTCTAATCAGATAGTTTATCGTTTAATATAACCTACACTACAAGAATGTGATGAAATTCCAATAGAAATATATTCCAATGGAATTCCAACGAAATGGATATTCTAATGCTATTAATTCCGTTGGAATTTTCCAATTGATTTCAACGGAAATTCCAACAAAAATATTTCGTTGAATGAGTTTTCCATTGGAATTTTCGTTGGATTTTGACAATTCCAACATTACATTTTTCAACGGTTGAAATATTGATAAAAAATAAAAATTCAAACGGAAACTGTATATTCCAATAAAATTCCTACGGTTAAAAAACTGTTGGAATAATAGTCGTTGTAATGATCAATTCCATCTAAATTCCAATGAAAAACTCATTCCAACAGAATAATTCAGTTGGAATCGTTCCAACGGAAGCTATACGATTGGAATATCCGTTGGAATTTTCATTGGAATATATTACTATAAGATTTTTCGTTGGAATATGACATTTTTTTTTTTGTAGTGCTGTTATTTAACAAAAATATTTTATCAGTCATCAGCTATCAACTATCCACGTACTTGAATAAAATAATCAATCAATCAAATACATAAAGTAATGTGTAAGATTAGAAATTGTTGATTTTAAGAATAATATAAAGTGCAAAAGAATTGATTTAATTAACAGAGTACATTATATTAATATATACACTACAAAAATTTGATGAAATTTCAATGGAAAATTTCAACGGAAATATATTTCATTGGGGTTCTAACGGCAATTACAATGCTATTATTTCCGTTTGGATTTTTCAATGGATTCCAACGGAAACTCCAAAAAAAATATTCCGTTGGAATGAGTTTTTCATTGAAATTTCCGTTGAATTTTGACGATTCCAACTGTACATTTTCCAACAGTTGAAATATGGATGAAAATAAAAATTCTCAACGGAAATTACTACGATAAAAAAATCGTTGGAATAATGGGCGTCGGAATGATAAAATTCTATCTAAATTCCAATGGAAAATTCATTCCAACGGAATAATTCTGTCAGAATTTTCGTTGGAATCATTCCAACGAAAGCTATACCATTGGAATATCCGTTGGAACTTTCATTAGAATATATTATTGTAGGATTTTCTGTTGGAATATGACATTTTTTTGTAGTGATATTCCTTATTTTCATGTAATAATGTAGTTCACTTAGTTTTTTTTTATTTTATTTTTTTCTCTTTATTTGGTTAGATAAAACATCAAAATATGCCTAAGATTCCTTAACATCATTGAAACATGGAGTACAATTTTGCTCTTTCATGATCACCTTCTAGAGGATAAAAACAAGATCAAGGAACAATCATTTCTATTGATTTTTAATATACAAACAATTTCAACACAAAATTGTCTTCTTCTGGTAGTTCCTTGCTCAACAAGAATTTGGATTTTAATCAAATAATAAATAAACGGTGAGATTAAAAAAAGAAAAAGAAACTCCAAATATCCAATTAATAGATAGCATCATTATTAATAATAATGGGTGAGTACTTAATATCAAAGCTATTGAAAAGTGAAGGGTTAGCATCACTATGAGATAGCTATGTCACACCCTATAGCTAGTCGATTTCTTCCAACTAAGGACTGAAAGTGTATACACTTTAATTAATAATCCTTTAATTATTTATCAAAGAATAAGTAAATATGATGTTTTATGTCAGTTAATTACATCCAATAAATTCAAACTATCAATAAATATTGAGTCTTTTTAAAATGTAAAATATAGTTGGGTAAAACATCTTCACAAAATGTAATATGCATGTTTTTTGCTTTCCAATTTATTTTATGTAAAATATTATAGTTTGTAAATGTTTTACTAAATATAGTTACTGAGTTTTGACAACCTCTAGTATTATATTGAATTTTGGCAATACTTAGAATACTATTATTAGAAGACTTTTTCAAGCTTGAATTAAACGACCAATGAAAAGAGAAGAAATAGGTTTGAAAGCAAGTTGCAACTAATTTTACCAATTTAATTGACAAATCCTTTTTCAAACACTATTAAACACACAATTGGTAGAATTAGTTATAAAATAAATAATTGAAGGACCACTTTTCTGTTTTCGGCCTGGTTGGTCCATCTGCCGCCTTTCGACCTGTAATCGTAATTTTTAGTTAAATGAACACAGTCTAGTTAGTTACAATATCAATTTAATATTGTTGCAAAATTTTAAATAGTACATTGTTAATGTTTTTATAGATATTCAATGTTAAGATTGTGATGCATTCTGCACCAGGCAAACCGACTTTTCGCTTACATATTGACTTCCAAAACTTGAAAAAAAAAAAATCGTGAGTTACTTGCACCAAATAGCTTATACTTATTTAATTAGTTTATAAATTTGTTGTATTCAAATAAATTTGGTTTGGTAGGACGAGTTTTTTTAAAATATTCAAGTTTATCTCATAAGTTTCCTTAGGTAGTTTTTTAAATAAGCCCATTGAAATTTTTATTTCAGCTAGCTTATCAGCTTTACTAAACACTTTTATCATATAAACTAGTTTTTCAACCCTAAGTCATAAATTATCAACTATAAACTCGAAATTCACTTAAAAGTTATAAGTTAGTTTATCAGTTAGGTTTACCAAACATTAGCTTAGGTTTACATAGTTATGAGATTGAATTTATAGTGAAAGAAGTAACTTTTTGCATCCAAGCAATGTCTAGGTTAAATCTCACCAAATTCGGATAAGATCTTTTCAAGATATACGTTTTATTTTTTTTTTTTTATACTTTTCAAGATATACGTAGTGAAATCGTTTTTCTTTATTCAGATCACATTTTTGTAAGGAGTCTACGTGCCTCTTATGTTCATCATCTCGACTCATTCTATTCGCCATATTAGCTCGAGCATATAGTAAAGTCACATTAGAATCGTAGCTCGAGCTAAGCTAAATCCAAAGGGCCAACCTCGATTTGTGCAATCTCTATGTATTCTAACCGAGCTATTAATTATCTTTGACCTCTCAAACCGAACTATCTTTCAAGACGGACCTAGTGGCTATATCAAATTCAAAATATCTGAAAAGATGGATTCCAAATTCATGGGACCAATTCATAGCGTGGCTCTCAAGAGAACCATAATTAACAAGCTTTTTGGCTATTGTCAAATTCACGTGCAAGTTAATTCTACTTTACTACTACTTTATAGTTATTATGAATCCAAATTTTAAATAGCACGACTGGTTTGGGTAAAACAATGCAATTTAATTATGCAAGTGAAATTATTTGCAATAATTGATCCATGAAAGTGATTTTTCCTTCATATATAAGCTCTAATTTTTCGTTTGTTTAAATGACTTGAGCTCGATGGATTGATGTGAGGATTTGTGAGAACCAAGTTAAACCCACATAGTACATATACGTCATATGATTACAAATTTGTATCATCTGCATTTCATTTGCCGAAATTTATTGTACGTAGAGAGAGAGGCACAACTAATCAAGAACACTAATCGGTACATATAATGATATAAAATCTTTCTTTCTCCAACTCTCACAATTAGGCTTCTCAAATAGTGCGTGAAACGAAACGCTAATTGAACACCAAATTGGTAAAGTTTGATCGAATTGTAAAGCACCAGGTCCATACATTGATATGTTTTCAAATGTGTTGTGAAACGAGAACAATACGAATTAAAGACGAGAAAGTAAATGACACAAGATTTACGTGGTTCGGCAATGTGCCTACGTCCACGGCGGAGCAGAGATCTTATTATTCACTCGTTATCCCAAATACATCAATACACAATGTATTTATATCATATCCCTACAAGGTATAAATTTACATAATTCGCTCGCTCCGCTCCGCTCGCAGGCATCGGCCTGCCTCTTTCCTTTGTCAATATATGAGCCATATCAACAAAATGCCTCAAGTTTGACCTTTTTGGCATTAATCTTGCTATGACATATCCTTATTTAATCATAATTATTCTTTACAGACGTGTCATTGGCTTTAAGTAACACTTTTATATAAAAATAAAAAATATTTGGAGATTATTTATTTTAATGCAAACGTTTTTGAAAGAATTCTGGGAGATGATTAGAAGTTTGGTGCACCGTAAACCATTTTGGTACTATAGAGTCATAAAGACGATCTCCAGTTTTTTATTTTTTTCAAACTCCAGCTTTTGGCTGAAACCCATAGGTAGCACCATCAAAACTCCAGCTTCTTCTTTTATACCGCAACAATCAGCTTGTAACCGGCCTTTTCATTACCAAAACTTGCAACAATACGGTGAAAACCTAATTTGAAAACACCAGCAAAACCTACCATAACGTTCAGAAAGAGCAGACAAAGATCCTCCGTATTTACAATCGATGGTTTTCAAAGCTAAAAGAGGCCATTTATAGTTGATGATCGATACTCAGAAAAATTTTACCGAAGTTACAAACGAGACGAGCAATTCGACTCATTACATCAAAGCACTGGTCGAAAGCCTCCTTTCACTAGCTTCTGTATTATGGCATATTCTAGGCCCTTGCTCAAAGCACGTTCTGACACAAGAGATGCTCGCAAAATGTTCAAAGCCTGTGTCGAAAAAATTGGGCCACATAATACATAGATCAATTATTAACCTTCAAATTAAAAAGATACATATACTTCGAAATAATTATAACAAATATTGAAAGCAGAGGAGTTTGTGGCCTGTAAAAACCGACAAAAATGCAGGACAGAAATGAAAGATCGTTACGTAACCAGTTCCAGTCGAAAAAATTGGGCCACACCACATAATATTGATCAATTATCAACCTTCAAATTAAATGAGCATATATATACTTAGAAATAACCAAAAAAAACCACCGAAAAATGCAGAACAAAAGCGAAAGATCGTTACCAGTTGCATTCCAATGTCCAGCTCCACTTCGTGCACATCACATGCACCGACTTTCATCCAGACGAGAGCCGCATCAAATGAGACCATACGCTCCACGGTCAAATCGCTCGTCACCAAAAACTTGTCATGCCGCCTTAGATAACTCCCCTCCCCTTTAGGGTCCTTAAAACGCATCCAAGAACCTTTCTCTATCTCCTTGTTGGTGGGGCCCACATTAAAGGACTCGACAAAATAAATATTGGGTGCCGCTCGTTCGGTCAGGGGCAAGATTTGATTCTTGGACAGATAGCCCGGAGGAAGCTCGGGTTTGATTAGCCCATTTTTCATTTTTAGGTACTTTTCATCGACAGTCTCGGCTATGCTCCTGTACAAATTGTCGATGTTTTTTAGCAATGTGTTGCCCTTCAAGAGGAAAGCGGCCCCACCCAAGGGGATGGTTAGCAAACTAAGGATGAAATCCACGAAATCATCCTCGGCTTGAACAAACAGTAGTTCGTTATTGGATTTGCGTAAGACAGCTTTCACTTTCATGGTTTTGGAGTAGGACGGCGGGTTTACTGCGGCCAGAGGCAGTAAAACGCGGGGTAAAACCGGGTCTGACTCTAGGTAAAAATGGTGGAGAAAGAGGTCGGTTAGTGGAGTATGGGAGAGTAGAGATCCCATGAGCAACTCCATAATCTGAAGATCCAAGAAAAGAAGCAGAGACGAGTGAGAGACCAAATATTATTACCAAGTTCGGAAAACATTCAAAAACAAATTTCGCGCAAAAACGTACATAAAAGCTGCACTTGTTCAGCACATGTAAACTGTGATTTTTGAAGAAGCATGGCAGATTTTTGGCCATTCATCTATTCAAAAGATATGTTTATTTATAGCCAGTAAGGAATATGCCGAGGTTAGCAGCAGCAACTCGATCAAGCATTTTATCGAATGTTGACATAAAATTGATAACCAGATAAAAGATTTAAAAGAAAAAAAAAAACAAATGCTTAGATAATAACAGGACGTCATAATACGTAAATCACACAAGACCAAAAAAAAAAACCCGTTTATCATATCATGCCCCTCCTGTGTGACATCCAAAAACAAAGGACGGCTCTCTTTCTCAACTCATTAAAAAAAAATCCCAAATTGTATCTTCTTCGGCAGACCATCCACAGAAAATCCTTATAAAGGAAGTGAGAAAACGATGCAGGGAGGAACTAATGTCACTTAAAAATCCAAAATGGCTAAAATTTTGGTCGAAAAGCAGCTAGGATGGATGAATGTATCTCAATAAGATGAGAGCAATCTTTCTATTTAAAGTAACAATCTTTCTATTTAAAGTAACAATCTTTCTACAAAGCAAGAGAGTAAAGTAAAAGCCAAGTGCAGTAAAACGAGTAACAAAGCAAGACTTTCGCTAGAAGACCAGATGCAACACTCGAATCATTCGTAAACAGGTAAGGCAACAAAAACACTCACATCCTGGACCCCAAGGCTCATAGTCAACATCTTGGCTCCTTTCCCGACAGTCACACCGAGATCGACCAGAGTTTCCAAGAAGCGCCCGGGCACAAGAGGCGCCATCTTGAGATCGTTGTTTATCAAGAACACCGTGCCCTTCTCGACAAAAACCCCCCCATGGCTACCTTGAGATTGTCTGTTATCAAGAATCCCGGGCTCCAATGGGCCCATCGCCTTGTCCAGAGGCCCACCGCACTCACAAGTTGCCATGCTGTGGTACATGGTCACAATCGAGGACCTCTCACGCCTGCAGCTGTGGGCCCCACACCTGTAGTAAGTCGTTCGACGGGATTCGTCAACGTTGAGCTTTAGCCAGACACACTCGGCCTCAAGCGGGTTCCTTGGGTCGAGCAGCATTTGCTTGCCGCCAGCTGTCCAGAAAAGGGCGTTGTCCAACCTGGACAGGCTGTCGTATAGTGTCGTTAGGCTTCCCAGTGGGGGCTCGTTATCTTCATAGTAACTCTTCAGCATCCTGATGATCTTTCCCAACGGCAATGTCAAGAAGCTCAGCAGGACGTCAGCAAAGTCGCTGTCGGCCTCGGCAAACAGCACCTTCGTTTGCTGACGGTTAACCATGACTTTCAGCTGGAGCTTGTATTCCCCGGTATCACTGCTTGAGCTCGTGGTGGACATTTTTTTTCTTGAAATGGGTGTAGTGAGTCTTTTGAAAATTCGATCTGAAAATATATATATAAATAAATCAAAGAAAATTTGGAAATAATACTTTTATTTAATCTGTTCCTAAGTTGGATGTGACTGATACTGATAATTTACAGTAGGATTTACAAAATTGAGTCAAGCAGTTCAAATTACAGCAAATGGATAGATTAAAATTTGAACAGTTGAGCTAGTTCCATTCAGATAAATGAACCAAGTTTTGATTCCAAAAACAGAATATTTATGATTTTTTGGACCACATTTCCCATTTCTGACAACAACTACTGCTTGCTCTCCATCATAAAGAAATTTTGTGTTAATATACAGAGAAATGGCTTTGTGAAGTTTTTCCCTTACTTATGGACTTCTTCTTCAGATTGTCGGCATCCCGTAGGGTGATCGGGCCCTCGGAGGGCGATGCTGCGGTTTACGTCACGAGTGGACACGTGGGCGTCGTTCATTGAGTGATCCAAGCGGAGGGTTGTGTCTGAAGGATGGCTTGCAGCTTCTCTTCATCTACTTTCCCGTCGTCTTCTTCCTCTTCGTCGAGGTAGTTGGGAGGATTTGCCGGCGGCAGTGGTGCGCCGAACTGATTTTAGGGTTTCCTAGTGAGGGAATGAAGAAATTTTGTACAGATGTGATTACTTGGGGCCTGGGGAAAAGAGAAGGGACTTTTTTTTTTTTTTATTCAAATAAAATATCTAAATTCATTCAACCAAACTCACGAATCATGACTTTGGTTAAATCAACAAAGAAGAGAAAAAAAATAAGATAAGGAACATTTGAGTGTGCGATTGATATGAATTTGATTGGTTTTTTATTGGTTTTTTAATTATAGTTAATTTTGAAAAATATGGTATAGTTAATTGATAAGGATTATATTAAAATAATATTTAAAATAAAATAATTTTAATATAATTCAAGTTTATTTGATATAAAAGTAGGAGAAAAATGATTGAAATTGATGATTAGTTAAAATTACGTGATTGGATAAATAGTAAATTAAAAATGAATTAAATGAGTTGAATATCTATTTTTTTTATTCATCATCGGTCGGGTTGATGAATTAAATCATATAGTTTTATATCAATGCAAAAAATGGCTCAAAATTTGGCTGTTAAAAGAATTCAATTTCATTTCCTATGTACAAGAATTACGTGAAAATAAATTTATAAGCAGTTGAAACTGTTTACCTCAAAATCGCTTGATTAGTTATCTGGTTTGAGGCGGGTTCAAATGATCACCCGAGAACGAATTCACCGCCGTATGGCTAACCGGAGTGATATGTAAGAATGATTTGTTGATATTATTTAGTTATATTGATAATATAAAGGATAATGAGTTAAGTTAAAGTTAAGTTGAATTTGAAATTTTATTGGTAGAGTTTACCTGACTAAATGGGAAGAATAACTTGAGTCACACTCCCATGACTAATTTGATTCAATTCCTGATTGAAAACAAATTATGAATCGAATCGAATATGAATTACAAACTAAAATATAGATATAATAATATTTTTACGAATTCAAACCAAAAAGATGAGACGAAAATTCATTTAGATCAATTCATTAGAAGCCTAGATATGGTCTTTGACCCAATTTTATATCGGACTCTAATCAAAGATAACACCAAATGATAATGGAGTGATAAGTGGCATTATACTATCCAATCACTTGAAACAAAATGTTCATGGAAGTTTAAATGGGATTGTATCCAACTGACATGGCAATTATAAAAAAATAAAAAATAAAAATAAAAATAAAAATAAAAACTTTACTTCCATATTTAAGTCTATTTGAGATTTGAGACTTGGTCTATTTGAATTTGAATTATTTTGACTATTTTAATTTAGTTTTATCTACCTCATTCAAGACTTGAATTCATTTATATGCTAAGTAAGTAAAATTAAACCCAAGGCTTCTTAACTTCACCTTGCACATACTAAATTTTTCTCTACCTTCCACATAGCAACAATCACCCATTTCCTTCTAAAACCCTACCAAACAACAATTATAAGAGCATCTTCAATGTTCTAATGTTGTCATAGAATAAATTTTGACAAATGTCAATAAATTAAATGGATTGTGAACCATGTAGGATAAATGTAAAGTCTACAACTATGAAATTAAAAATTTATCTCCAATGCACAATGTAGTCTAACTATAATATTATCTACTTACTAAATATTAAAATTTTATAATATGTAGTAAGAAAATTAATTAAACAATTAAATAGTTTGAAATTGGTAAGAATAATTCTCCCTCATCTCCTAATTGGTTAGTTAGAGTGTGGAGGAGAATGCGGATGAACCACATTATTGTCTATATTGTTGACATTAATTGTGTCCACATCATCACAACATTTGTGATCACATTGTGCATTGGATAATGAAAGTTATGACATTGTTAAATATATTGATGTGGAATGTAATTTACCATAACAACATTTGAGCATTGGAGATGCTCTAATCCTTTCTCCAAGAGATTCCTTCTCAGCTATTTTAGAGAGATAAATATCCTAAATTTGCTCCAACATCCTCTCATCTTCCTCTCTAATAATTGGGAATGACCCTACATTTGAGGAGCCAAAAGTTAGTAATTTTAAGCTGTAAAAGTTAATATAGTTGTAAATAAAAACAAATTGTAAATTTAAATAAAATGAGGTTTAAAAATAAATAGTGTAATTTTCTATTTTTGTTTGACTTCAAATTTTCTTTTCCACCTTTGACAAATTATGTCCTTATTATACAAGCTTCAATTAAGTAAACAAAAGTGTGCATAATGTCATTTCTTCTTCAACATAAAAGACTCCAAACTATGTATCAAAAATTAAATTAGGAAATTAGATAGAGAGAAGCCATTTTTTTTTCCCAACAAGGCTGATCTTTTTATGCAATGGAATCAACAACTAGAGTTGAAATCTCTTTCCCACTCGCCTTAAACCAAATATTTTTGTTTTCTTAGGCCAATCTAGTCTAGCTAGACTTCTAGTGTTGCAAGGTTGACTTCTATTCTATATATGAATAGCTTTAACAAAGATCTTGTTCTTATGCATGTATCTTGTTTAATGAAGGTATAACACAAAATTTAAGAATGATATAGAATGATTATGGGTTAGTGTAAGTAATATAAAACTTTAGAATAAGAGAAAATAACATCAAAGGGTAAAAATAATCTTGTGTTACTATTATATATGAAGGTCAGGGGTACCTATTCATAATTATTATGAATGTAATATGAGTAAGGTTAAAAACAAATCAAACATTTTCGATTTGATTCGTGATTCGAATTTGGTATACGTGATTCGTATTCGTAAAAATTTAAGCTCAAATTCGAATAAGAATTGTGTTTAGTATTCGTATAAGAATAGTATTTAGTATTATAATATATTCGTAAAAATTTAAACTCAAATTGAAATTATTCCAACAGAAATTCCAACAAAAATATTCCGTTGGAATGAGTTTTTCATTGGAATTTTCGTTGGATTTTGACGATTCCAACGGTAGATTTTCCAACGGTGGTGGAAATAAAAATTCCAACGAGAATTCGTACGATAAAAAACCGTTGGAAATATAGCCGTTGGAATCACAAAATTTCATCTAAAATTCCAATGAAATATACATTCTAAAGGAATATTTTCATTGGAATATCCGTTGGAATTTCCATTGAAATATATTTCCATAGAATTTTCCATTGGAATATAACAATTTTTTTGTAGAGATAGTTATTGGCATTGTCAGATTCCATTTCAATTCTTAAGGAAAAGTTAATTCCAGTGCTATTCTCTACGTAAATAATTAATTATCTACAGAAAATATTGGACATTGGACTATCCAAATATCCGATAAAGAACCTTTATTTTTTTTTCCCTCAAACTATTATATATATATATATATAGCTGGCAAGTTTTAATAAATTTTATTCAGCTAGTAATTAATAATAATATGAGTTCATTTAATAAAAATAGGTGTTCATTTAATAAAAATATGTTCACCATTTAATAGTAATATGTAACTTTTAGTTACACAATTTATTTCGACAGGTCTGATTTTGGATGGTTTCAATTTCTGTAACGCCTTTTTATGTCCTGAAATACAAAATATTTTTATTTTTATTTTTATATTGATACTATATATTTATTGGTATTATATAGATACATATTTCACAACTGATTAAGGATGACTACGAATATCTGATCTATTCTCTATTGCAGTCATACAGTAATGAAAAAATACTTTTTCGGATATTACAAAGAGACATCAAATGTTTTGAAAAATTAAATTTCAGAGTCACTAGTCGAAGAGATTTAACAATAATGATTTGTTGTGATGGAAATTCTGGCGATATGAAAACTACGAATATTGTATATAAAGAAGTATTTAATAATATTTTAGATTCACTTTTTTTAAATTATTTTTTTTATGTATGATTTTTATTTTATTTTATATTTTTAATTACTTTATGTTCTATTATATCGCTTTTCGTGCAAATGCACGGGGTAAAACTAGTATATATATATAGGGTTAGGATCATATGAGAATGGTAGATAGTGAAAGAAATAAAAATGATTATAGACTATTGGATTGGTACGATCAATAGACATAATTAAGTCAAAATTAAAGAACAATTGTCAATTCATTAATGATAAAATCGTAAATACATAAATATCCATGGACAAATAATTACATAAGCGGTATTTACGTAATTCACCATACACTAAAATTAGTGGGGCCCACCTATCTATCATAAAATCAGATATATCTCTCATCTCTCTCGATCCCATCATCTGTCTCTCTCTATCCCGTCATCTCTCTCTCCCTCTCTCTCTCACACACACACACACGCACGGCGCAACATCACAGAAACACCTTCCTTCCGCCGGCGGTTTCGCCGGCTGCCACCTTCATTCTGCCCGCGTCATCGCCGCCTTCAGCCGATGGTGTTGACGGCCACCGGACGCAGCGCGCAGGCGACCAAATCCGGCACCGACCAACACAGCTTCCACGGCCACCGACCCGACGACGGCCAAATCGGCCAATTTGCAGGCGGCGCTTTCCAGATATCTCTATTCCGACGTCAACGGCCTTCGATTCGACGGTCAGTTCGTGTCCTCCTCCACGAGCCAGAGCCCACGGCCATCGGAGATATTCACCTTCTCGCTGAGGACGATTTGGAAGGGCTGGCGGCAGCAATCCCAGCACCGCCACCACTGTCACCTGCCCTTGTCTCAAACCCACTCAGCCCGCCCGTCAAGCGCCACGTTCCGGCGAGTAGCAGAGGAATAGTAGAGGGATGGCGACCTGAACGGGATGAGCTCGCCGGCGATTTGAACGGGAGAAAGGAAGCGGCGGCCGGAAATGCTATTAGGGCTGAGGAATTGCATCGTGAATTGCTGTGTGAATGAATTAGGTGCTATGGGTGAATTTTGATTTATTGTTGTGTGAATGAATTAGGTGCTTTGGGTGAATTTTGATTTAGGTGCTCTGATTTATGCTAAAGAATTGGGTGTATTGATGTGTGAATGATTTTGGCTGCTCCATTCGAAAGAATTTGGTGAATTGTTCTGCGAATGATGTAAGGTGAAATGTAATTTGGGTAGTTTTGGGTGTGAATTGAATTAGGGGCTAGTTTATGGAAATTAGGTTAATGTTAGGGACTATTTTGTAAGTTTTTTGAACTTTAATTACAAACACAAATTAATTAGTGAAATAAATATCTATACTAAATTGTTAATAATTTAATAAATATAAAGATAGTGATAAGTAATTTTTAAAATCTAAAGACGACATTGAACCCAAATAAACGAATTTTTAAAATTTGAAAATTATATTTGAACTAACATATAATGTTTTGAATCGAAAATATTATTTTGTCAGCTTCGATTGTTAATGTGCATGGCCTTGACCGTAAATGTGCACGACTGTGAGCCATTAATCGTACTGATGGTATTTTTTATTACAATCCAAATTAAAATCGAACATAAATAATCAAGTTATTTAGTCAGTTATTTGATTTCCTGGAACAACTGAATTAACTTATTATGTGCATTTATAATACTGTAATCAGTATTTTAAAATTTAAAGCAAAAATAGATAATTGTTAATAATATATAAATTCGAATCACAATTTTTAATCTTGCCAATTATGGTCGCTACTGTACAAAAAATGTACAAAATAATATTTTTTAATATAGTTTGATTTTTATTTCAGTTATTTAAATTAAAATAAAATGACATCGTACCGAAATTTCTGATATATAAAAAATAATAATAATAGAACCAAAATATAAAAATTTGTACCGAATTTCTGGTTGTCGGAATATTGTTCGATTTTGTGCAATCTGATAGACATTTATGTGCAATCCGTATAACCCTAATGTGCACTCGCAATAAATAAAAAAAAGGAGACAAAAATAGTATCATTTATTATAAAAAAATATAAATAAATAAATAAAAATAAATCGGTAACATTTATGGCGGATTACTTATTTTGTTTATTTAAAAATAAGTAAATCTGACATTAATCAATTAATATTATTCGATCGATCATTAGAATTACTATAATTTTAGTACGTGAAACGTGTTGTGTTATAAGGTGCAACGGATTGCTGTATAAAGTGTAATGTATCGATATATAAAGTGCAAGACTAAAATTTTAGTATTTTAACAGTATTGTATTTATTTATTTTTTTGTTGATATATGATATGATGGGTAGTAAAGTAATATGTCACTCAATTTTTTATATTTATATTGCGTAATATTTCGGTGAGAGTTGTTGACATTAATTGTGAAGAGTGGTTATAAAGTGCAACGTGTTGTCTTATAAAGTACAATATCTGCTATATAAAGTGCATTAAAGTCGACAATGCAACGAGATAATCAAAATTGTAAAAGTAAACACTAATAATCGAACCAAAATATAAAATTCAAACCCAAAACTTTATGTGTCCGTTTCGACTGCTATAGTGTAATTTCAGAAATTTTTGATATACTACAATTTAATTTGTGTTAAATATGTAATTTATTAAAAATTTAACAAGTGGACATTATTGTTCAAAGCATTGCACATTACTGGTCAGTTCATTGCATATTACAGTTTAGTTCATCGCTCAACAATGATAAATAAAATGCACAATGCGTGTGTGTATGTACACACTAAAATTAAAAAAAATAAAAAATATATCAACACACTGCATAGTACGCAATATTGAAAAAATATTATTTGATAATACACATTATAAATCGAATAAATAAAACATTATTTAAAAGTAGGTTTGGTTTTTCTTTAGTTATTTGAAAAAAATAATGCTGACCTCGAACTGAAATAATTGTGATTTTAGAAGTAAAAACAAATTATCGAATCACGAAAATTAGTTCAATCGATTAAGTGCAATTCGACAGTTATTAATGTGTAATTCATATAACAGTATAGTGCACTTGCAATGCTGCACTTACAGTTCATATATTTTAATAATTTGTTCTAACACAAACTAAAATCGAATTTAAATAATCTGTAACCGAAATACTATAATTAATATAAATAACTTAATATTTAAATTCTAAAAATTATATTTAGTATTTTTAAAATTTATATTTAATATTTTATATTGTTCTAGCTGAAAATAAATAATATTTTATATAAAAAAATATATATTTAAATTAATTTTTTATATAGTTAGACGGTTTGATTATTTTGGTTACTTAAAAAAATAATGTCCATATTGAACTGACATAATTGATATTTTACAAATAAAAATAGATGCTTGAGCCGAAATATATGATTTCAAAATGAAATTTTTAGTTCATTCAATTTCGGTCATTATGTGCAATTCGCCTAACATTATGGTGCAACGTGGTAGTCGTTAAAGTGCAATTCGTCTTACACTATTGTGCAGTCAAATTGTATTTATTATTTATAATTATAAAAGTATATTTATTATTTTATATTTTTTATATATAAAAATTTTACATACTAAAAATTTTTAACCAATGTACACTTTATTTATCATTAATATGCATTTATTAGATATTTTTATATTCAAAACGAAAGATTTAGTACATTCAGTTGGTCATTATCTGCAATTTGTTTAACATTATGGTGCAACTTAGTAGTCGTTAAAGTGCAATTTGTATAACTCTATTGTGCAATCGCAGTTTATTTATTATTTATTATAATAAAAGTATAGTTATTATTTAATTATTTTTAATATATAAAAATTTTACATATTAAAACTTTTAAACATTGTACACTTCATGTAATTGTATTATATTATACCCATTTTTACACCTTGAATAGGTAAAATACCCCGGCCATTCTTGTTATTATGTTCACACAAAAATTAATTTCGTCCTGCATTTATTTACCGTACCCAGTTGAGATCTAGAAGTGGTGAGAAGGATATATTTGAAAATACTCATTCCATTAAGGTTTTTAAGTTGTGGAATATTGCACTCCCTCCATTTTGAAATATAAGGCATTTAAGGTTATTGCACAAATATTAAGGAGACATTAATTAATGAATAAATTGACTAAATTAACCTTATTTACTCTAATCACAACTACTCCACACTTCCTTAATTTCAACACAATGAGAGTATATTTAGAAAAAAATGCAAAAATTTGTCTTGATTTTTGAGCGCCTTATATTTCAAAAAAATTGAGAAATCTTTATACGCCTTATATTTCAAAATGGAGGGAGTATTGAGATCCACATTGGAATATAATAAAGACGTCTGAATTTGCAAATGAGTCCCTTGGAATAGTCAAATTTCCAAAAACAAGGCCCCCAAAATTAATCATTTTTTCTCCTTCCTCAGCCACTACCGACGACACTAAACAGCACGACAGCGCCGAAAAACATCACACTTCGAGATCAATTGTACATTTCAATTGACACTTTGGATTCGAATAACAATCGTAGATTTCAGAATTTTCAGCGATTTTTTCGAAATGGGTGGTTCAAACATCCAATTGCGAGTCATGTCCATGGAAAACCGACAGAGTTCAAGCAATTACCACCGGCGAAGAGCAGCGGTTGCACCTGTCAAGGGAGAAAGTGCTCGCCGGAAGAACAGTGTGAAGAGCCGCTGATCGCGATGTTGTTCCTCAGGTGAACGGACGACTTCGTCACGACAAAGAGGCATAGGAATAGGGCAGACTGCGGCGGAGATTGGCGGTAGGACGGGCGATCGGCGCGGCCGATGATGAGGAAGAATATTGAGAGAGAGAACGGGTCTACAGAGTCGGAGAGTACTGGAGACGGTGTGTGGGGTGGGTCCCATGTGTGTGTCATTGTTTGGAATTTTTGTGATGTCTAAATTACCCCTTACTGAATGTAAAACTGCTAGTTTTTTGTACCGTCGGATGATCTAATCCGATGCCTAGAATGTATTCTTATTTCTTTCACTGAGTATCATTCTCACCGGAACGCGACATATATATATATATGTTCGAACTTTTGATTATACGCGAGTAATTATAAATCAGTATGAATAATGACATAAAACTAGTGTGTACCCGTGCGATGCACGGGAAAAATATTAAATTAACAATATTATAAATAGACCTCGAGTTTGAGTCAATGGGGGAAGTGAAAACTACTATTGATCGTATTTAAAAAGAGGAAGAAAAAAAAATAATTATAAATAAAAGAGGAGGATAAATAATACTTAATAATTATAAATTAAAGATTCGGGGTCAAACAATGTAAAATGATTTTGTATAAGAGAATATAAAAAAATTTGACTACACACCATTTCAAAATTATTATTATACTTTTTTGTATGGTTAGCTTAGAATATTTGTAAAAATATTAGTAATTAGACCGATGAAAATTAGCTTCTTAAAGTAGATAATGGATTTCTAGTAGTAATTATGAATTAGTTTCTATTTTATTTTATTTTTTCTTTTTAAAGATAATAGATTTCTAGTAGTAACTATGAATTGATTTCTATTTTATTTTATTTTTTCAAATCTGTATAGATAAGAGATGAAATTTTTTAAACACCTAAGATCGTATGCAATGAGATTTTGTAATAGAAGAGATAAGCTCGTGTAGATTTATACTAAAAATAGGAAAAAAAAAAACAAATATTTATTGTTCAAACGATAAACTAAGAAACAGGAAAAGAGAAACAAATCTTTACACAATTAATGAGCGGATTTTTTTGCTTATTCAGATTTGTCCAACAATTACTATATATAGGATATATTTAATGATTTTGGCGAGAAAAGGTTTCTAAATTTGTAAAAAAGTTATTCTTTTTATATAATGATAGATGAAGTCACAACAACCGCGTAAAATGATAAAATCCTTCAGATTTGTGGACCAACTTTAGGGTAAGTGATTTTGTTGACTCCACACTTGACTGCCAATATCAAAAGAGAGGGACTTCAAATTGAAATAATACCAACTCCATGAAACATGCTCATAATGTCCCCTAAGTAAATAAAAGAAAGAACAATTCACGCGTAAAGACATTGACAAAAAATCATCAACTTTCAATCCGCCATTAAGTTTTTCAAAGATTCAAATAAATGCACATGATTGTCGTACAAAGCATAAATGTAAATCAAACTTAAGAGGATGATGAGTGTAAGACAGTCTAATTTATATATATATAAGATGTGGTTCAAATGAGAACTAAGTTTTAGTGTAAGAACCGTGAGAACCGCTATTTTTATTTGGGTGTAGTGCTATGATTGATTGTGTTTGATGCTATTTTTATCTATAATGAATTTTATTAAAAATAGTAACACAATTTCTGGTAGCACTTGTAAAAAATGATAGCATCATCTAATATGAAAAATTGCATCATACACAATTAAAATAGCATCAAAAATGGTTCTCACGGTTTTCACACAGGACTAGTTTTTATTTGAATCAACCTCTCTCTCTCTCTATATATTTGTGTTGTTCTTTTAAAGTATTAAATCTTTAAGGTTCCGTTTGTTTTGAGGGATTTGAAATTCATTGATTTCAAAATTTTTGAAATATAATTTTTTTTATTTGCACACTTCTTGAATGGATGTGTTGAAAATATTATAAATAAATTGTCTAGCTCGCACCGATGTTGTTGACTCGCGGTGGTGATGAACCTAAATGATGGCGGACGGCGTGGTCCTGAACGATGATAAACAGTGGATTTCAAATGACTAGGTTTGAGGAGTCATTTCAAATCCTTCAAAATGATGACTAAAAAATATTAGAATGAATTTGAAATCCTCCAACTTCCATTATCTATCTCAATTTGAACTTGTAAATTTGAAATCTATAGATTTCAAATCACTCAGTAAATCCTTCAAACAAACAGAGCCTAAATGAAAGCATACATATTCATAAAAGGAGTATATTCGGCTAATAGTTAGACAGACCTGTCTTTTTTCAAAAACCTTGGCAAAGAATTTGATCGCATTTTGGAGCTCAAAACAAATATAAGGTGACCCAACTGTTAATCAATTCAACCTATCATACTTTTTCAACAAAAATACATATTTATATACTATAAATTTTCATATTTTTGTTTATGTTATTTTTTTCAACCATGACATTTCACATTGCATGAATGTGTATTTGTGTAACCGAAGTATCTAACACTTAGCCAAACAGCAGCCAGCCTTACTGTCGTTCTCATTCATAAAAAGATTGATTTTTTTTTTTTTAAGTTTACATGGGNCGGGTCGGCCGCCAGCGCACTCACCGTCTCGTTCAACTGCCCGGACGAAACCTGGTGCCCCGAGAACTTGGACCGATTATTATTGTACATCGCCTGCCCGAATATCCCGGCAGCAGCCGGAATATTTCCCGGCTGGCTGAGGAAGGGCGGCTGTAGGGGGTTGGGGGGGTGGGTGAGGTCGAGTGTGACGGTCGGGAAAGGGGCGGAGGCTGAGATGGTGGCCGTGGTGGAGGAGCAAGGGAGGAGGGCCCGCCCGAGGAAATTGGAGCCCATGAGCCCGTCGGCGCTCGGCATCGAGCCCGAGAGAAGCATTCGGGCGGCCGACGAGGTGGTCGAGGCCATGGACATGGCGGCCGGCGGCAACGGGTGGTTGTGGTTGCCCTCGTACGTCGTGATGAGGATGGTCGTGTCGTCTGCGCATCTCTGGACCTGCGTTCGTTCTTTCGAAGCTCGTGATGTTTTTCTTTCATGTTTTAGAGAAAACAAAATAACTAAAGTGGAAATAGTTTTTTTTACACCCCACTATATGAAAATGTATTAAGTTTTTCACACGGATCGCTCGCTGATAAGTTAACTAAAGGGCGAAGACATTGTTGATGAATATGCGATATTTATGGGGCTCATAACTTTTCGCACTTTTCTGGATGAAAAAATTAAAGTGCGAAAGCATTATACGATGAAAATGCGACAGTTATATATGCAAAAATTGATATGCGACAGTTATGCGGTTCATACGCATAATTTTCGCAGAAAGTAAAAAGGTTAAATTGTCAGCAAGCGGTGCGAAAAACTTAATGAGGTGAAAAAGATGATCTCCCATAACCAAAAGCGCGTGTTTTAGAATGATTGTACAGGTCAATATAGAAGATGTGTATGCGTGATCCGATGATTTAACCTACGAAAGATTATACGAAAACTTGTCGGAAGAATGAAAAAGAACATTATGAACAAAAGTCATACTTGCTTTCGGACCGGGCAACCGGCAGCCATGGTGCAACGGTAGTACGCGCGGGGCCATGGGTTTCCCTTTGCAATCTTTTGTCCGTACTTTCGCCATTGGCAGCCGTCCGTGATCTGTCCATCCATCAAAACCCCAAAACATATTGTTTCAAATACATCGTGCAATACAAATGCAAATGCTAGTGTTAGGCTGCCTAAACAGCTAGTCAACACTTATACTATGAAATGTCATATTTTTGTTTATATTGTACTAATAGCACAACGTTTGTGTATAAAAGTATGTACATCTATAATCATGTAAAAGTCCCGTATGTACGAAATATGAAACTCAAACCGAAGTAAATTATACTCACACACAAGTCAGACATCAATTAGATTAGACGACTATCCGCGCATGCATACATACCATGGAGGCCTCGGACCTAGCGCGAACCGAAACCCGAGCCTTCCTCATGGTGGCCTCGGTGGCTTGGTCGGCACTTCCACGGTAGTGGGCTTGCCCTGCGGCGGTCCTACTACTTTCCGGCTCATCTCTTTCATCGACTTCCTTCTCATGCGACTCGGGAGATTGCTTGCTCGTCTGACCGTCAAACGGAGACCGCACGGCATCCTCATTGGCCGCAGCAAAACCGAGATCCATGAACTGGCGGAGCCCGTTGCTTTCGCGGCCGTTTTTCTTGTGCTCCTCAGCAATTTCGTTGTGCTTTTGCTCGGGTTTTTGTTGCCACGTAAGCGTGAGTAGATGCGTATGTAGGCTGTTGTAGCTGTTTGTCGTCTGATTTAGCATTTCCCTCAGGCGGCGATTTTCCGAGCTCAGCCTCTCCATCTCCGCCTGGACTACGGCCATCTGACACAATTTTGACACAATTTTACAATTTAATGTAAATAATTGCAAACTTATTAAGGGCTAAATATAGGGAATAAATAAATAAATAAAGGAAATAATAAGGTTTCACCTCATATTTGGACCTTTTGTCTTCTGAGTTGGAAGAAATTTCATCGTCGACGATCGACTCGTCGCTGCCTGTGTTGGCAGTCAAAAGGTGCAAGCCAGTCTGTACACAATTTAATTTCAAAAATAATAAATGAAATGAATTAAAATAAAATAAATTCAAATTAAAATGAAGGTGCATATACATAATTTCTAAATAAGATAAAATGAAATGAAATAGAAAATCGAATTAAATCTCAATTTGAAGCGAAAACCCCAAAATCGTACGTTCACTTTACAATCCAAGGCTGGGGGATCTCGGCCGGCGAAAGGCGCCGTCCTGCTGGCCTCTTCAGCGTCGGCGTCGGCGGCGGCGGCAGACTGTTTCCTGTCGGAGAAGAAATCCATTTCGGCGATCACCTTGCGTTTCCCTTGGGGGTTCCGATCGTCGCGATCGTAGGCGAGGGTCGCCGGGAACTGTATGGTGGTGGGCGGTGAGTTGACCGGCTTGGCCATGGGAGGCGGCGGCGGTTTTGGGTTGATTCTGAGCTTGTTGTGGTGGTGGTGATTGAAAAGGGCAGTGGTGTGATCTGGATCAAAGGGGAGTCCACTTTCACTAATGGCAATCATATATATATATATATATATATATATATATATATATAAGTATACGTATATATTGTGTGTGTATCTATTTGGTTTTTGATTGGGAAATGGAGTTTTGGGTGTTTGGTAGGAGAGGCAATTGACTAGGCTAGAAAAATGGGAAGGCCTTTAGGGTTGATTTGTTGAAAAAGAAAATGGTGGGATTTTGGTGTAATTTACTAGTTTTTTCTATAGGGACTAACTATGTGTAGTTTAAACCATCTCTAGTTGATAGCTAATGCTAAAAAAAATAAAAGAAAAATAAAAATAATTGGTGTTGTGCTTGGTTGTCGACCTAACTATTAGGCAGACATATTTTTTTTTATAAATATATATACTTTTATTAGAAAATGTTATCTTAATATGATGTTTAATAGAATAAGTTTGTAATTTTGGTTCAAATAGTATTGTGGACACGACTAAGGGTTAGACTACCTTTGAGAATAATAAATGGGATGAATTTTATCTTATCTTACCACAGTATTTGTCAATCGACTATCGCTATATTTGTCAATTTGATAGGAGAAATATCTTGTTTGTTTTAATTTATTGGACTTTATTAACCACAATATTTCGTCACAAAATATATTTAAAGAAAAATTGACTCCGACTAAACGACTCAGACCATATTGCATGTTTTCGCTGATTTTTGTTGGATCAGATGAGTTTTGGTTGTAATTCAAAATCGATTTGGCCTTATGATTGGTTCCCAATTAAATCGGCGAACAGACCGGTTCAGGCCAGGTTTAAAAACCTTATAAAAGTATCAAAATATTATAACTCTATAAAATGTAAAAATTGTAGTAATCTGTATTTCTATAATAAAATAGTAACTCTTAACAAGATAAATTTCAGTCTCATATCAAGTTGTTATCTTGTCTTACTTTCTAGACAGTGTTTTATTTATTTATTAATGAAAATTTATGTTCGCTGTCCCGTTAAAAATGGTTTGGTGACGTAATAAATAAAGTTTGGACATAACATATACATATATACCTCTTAGATAATTTACAATAATTATTATATAGAAAAAGGAAACTAAAATTTTACCCAAACTTATCAAAGATAAAATAAAAAACTCCATATACGTAAAAACCAACATATATAATCAAAGTCTTTGCACACATTAAAATTTGTCCACTTCACGTGATATGATTTCAACATTGGTTAGATATCTTCAAAATTTAGTATCACCTTCCAGCCACACATGCTACCCAAATAAAGTTAAAAAATACACCATAATTCAAAAATAATGAATTAAAAAGAAAAAACCAACTAAGTGAAAGAAAATAGAAGAAAGTAGATAGTCAAAAGTCAAGGCTTTATTGGAGAGGTGTAACTGGCAATCAAGCATGGTCCAAAATTGGACCCAAGTCCAAAATATTAAGATAAATTAATTATGAAGGGAAAAAAGTGTACTTTGACATTAAATGCATTCATGGGATTTTGTCAAAAAAAATGAAATGAGTTTGACGCGTTCCCAAAATTCGCCGCCCCGCTTTTGCCGGCACTCACTCTTAAATATGTTCGAGGAATTATTGAGACACTAATATTGAAAATTTATTGTTGCAACTTGTTAGACTTCATTTATGGTATACTATCATGACTTAGAGTTGTGAAAGGGAGTTCATTAGTTGTCTTGTTGAGTTGAGCTTAATTTTTTCGTTAGCTGCTCAAGCTCGACTCTTTTGGTACTAGATAAGTTTGACTTTTTAAGGCTCTTCTCGACTTGTATAACAAGGCATGAGAATAGTGTTAAATTTCATCTTCTCGACTTATATATATATATATATATATATATTTCTGGTAGCCAGTCACGGTATCTGAGCGAAATTCAAGTCACAAATAAACTAAACTTAAGCTAAACTTAAAAAATATTTATCGAAAACTGAGCCCCACTAAAACAAAATTCGAGATGATGAAATTTAAGTATATATATATGTGTGTGTGTGTATGTGTGTGTGTGTTTACCTGAGCAGCTCGTCAAGCACTTCCCGCTCAAGCTTAAGTTCGAGTTAGGTGCTCGAGCTTAACTCGTGCTCGGTCGAACTCGAACTCTTTAATTCAAGCGTTCACAAGCCGCTCGATTCATTTACAACATGAGGCATGACTATATCCTACTTAAAAAACACTATTCTCGCTTTACTACTAAAAAAATAAACAAACCTCACTAACATAATTACACACAATTCAAAAAATATATTTTTAGGTGATGGATGTTACCCTAGTGGTAAAGGGCATTAGTTGGAGGGATAAATTTTATAAATCATTTTATAAATATAATCCAATTAGAATGTCGTTGATTAACAACTAATTTTATATTTCCTTTTAAATTGATCAATATAAGTACAACTTACGTTAGAGTTCAACGTGTCCCAATTAAAAATGACATGCTATATACACGTAATCTATGTCAAATGACACGCTGGAATTTTAATTTATTTTAAAAATGATAAATTTTAAAATTTACGGGATTGCTGTCGGCCAATTGAAATCCAATGTGCCTACTCTTGAAACTCTTTTAGAGTTGCCGTGCTTAATTTAAAATTTCATATAAAGCGACGTGCCCGGGACATGCTAATGAAATTTCGATAAAATTTAAAAATTATCCTTGATTAAATGATTAAGGATGGGTCGGATCGGTCACTGGTGAAGGATAGAGAGATCAAAGACAGATAGCGAGAGTACTTCGACAAATTGTTTAATGGAGAGAGTGAGGGTCCTACCCTGGAGTTGGATGACTCATTTGAGGATACCAATAGATGCGTGGTGAGAAAAATTCGGGAGGCAGAGATCGGAGAGGCTATGAAGAGGATGAAGGGAGGTAAAGCAACGGGCCCTGATGGTATCCCCATTGAGGTGTGGAGATGCTTGGGCGCCAGAGCGTTAGCATGGCTAACTAAACTTTTTAACCTCATTTTCCGGTCAAACAAGATGCCTGATGAATGGAGGAGAAGTACTTTAGTACCGATCTTCAAGAATAAGAGAGATGTTCAAAGCTGTGGTAACTACCGTGGGATTAAGTTGATGAGCCATACGATGAAGCTCTGGGAGAGGGTTATCGAGCATCGCCTACGACGAGTGACGAGTGTGACCCAAAACCAATTTGGGTTCATGCCTGGAAGGTCGACCATGGAGGCGATTTTCCTAATACGTCAGTTGACGAAGAGATATAGGGACCAAAAGAAGGACTTGCACATGGTCTTTATCGACCTAGAGAAGGCTTATGACAGAGTACCGAGAAATGTCATGTGGTGGGCCTTAGAAAAGCACAAAGTCCCATCTAAGTACATTACCCTCATCAAGGATATGTACAAGGATGCAATGACGTGTGTCCGAACATGTGGGGGCGACACCAGCGACTTCCCAATTAAAAGGACTACACTAGGGGTCAGCATTGAGCCCTTATCTTTTTGCCTTGGTGATGGATGAGGTCACAAGGGACATACAAGGTGATATCCCTTGGTGTATGCTCTTTGCTGATGATGTGGTGCTAGTTGTCGAGAGTAGAGCAGGGGTAAATAGGAAGTTGGAGCTGTGGAAGAACGCGTTAGAGTCGAAAGGCTTCAGACTTAGTAGGACGAAGACCGAGTACACGACGTGCGCTTTCAGCATGGCTTCACATGATGATGGTGACGTTACCCTTGACGGGCAAGTGGTGGCCAAGAAGGAGACTTTCCGGTATTTGGGATCGATGCTACAAAAGGATGGCGGCATTGATGCTGATGTTAGGCATAGAATTGCAGCCGGTTGGTTGAAATGGCGTCAGGCGTCGGGCGTTCTCTGTGATAAGAGGGTGCCACAAAGGCTAAAAGGTAAGTTCTATAGGACGGCGATTCGCCCGGCGATGCTATACGGTGCTGAATGTTGGCCTACAAAAAGGCAACATGTCCAACAACTAAGTGTAGTAGAGATGCGTATGTTGCGTTGGTTCTGTGGGCATACAATAAGGGATAGAATCCGGAATGAGGATATTCGAGATAGGGTCGGGGTGGCCCCAATTGAGGAGAAATTGGTTCAACATCGGCTGAGGTGGTTCGGACATGTCCAACGGAGGCCTCCTGATGCACCGGTGCGTAGGGGAATTCTACAGCGGGTCGAGGATGTTAAGAGAGGTAGAGGTCGGCCTAAATTCACTTGGGAAGAGTCGGTTAAGAGAGACCTTAAAGATTGGAATATCTCCAAGGATTTAGCGGTGGATAGGAGCGCTTGGAGGCTCGCTATCAACGTGCCAGAACCGTGACTTTTGCTCCTTTCTCTCTCTCTCTCCCTCGTTTTTTTTTTTTTTCGATCTCTTCCTTTTGGTTCGAGTCTTTTTGTGTTTCTCTTGGGTTTCATCTCTAGCCTACCCC